TCCTCCACCCCACCAGCCCAGTCATCAGCAGGGTGACGAGGACAGGCAGCAGGATGAAGGGGCAGAGGATGCCGTTTGGGGGGTCGTGCAGTGCCCGGCCGGAGGGGGAGCAGTTCCTGAAGTACTGCTTGTGGACGGCCACGAAGAACTCGTCCACCAGCCGGTTGGGCCAGTAGCAGTCGAGCCTCTCGGCGATCAGCGCCGTGCAGTTCGTCAGCTCCCCGTAGGTGCTGCAACACAGACAAGGGCACGGGGGTGGCACTGGGGACCAGCACCCAGCTGGGAGTACGCCACCAACCCCACCTCACCCCCAGTATAATATAAAATATTTATATTATGTGTATATGTTATTTGAGCTTGTTATCTGACTGACTTGAATTTTTTTTTAGGGTTGGGATTTGTTTAAGATTGTAGGCAGATAGGTATAAAAACTATACATGTGTGTTTTTTTAATTCCCATCAGGTTTTGCCACTTTGAGCACACTTTAAGTGCTCACCCACCGCCAAAAGCAGGAGTTTTCATTCACAGAAGGAACTGACTAGACACGTACTACTAAAAATTCTCTTAACTGCCTAAAAATAGGGGGGGTTGCATATGCACCACCAGCATGCTTCTGAAGCACATCTCTGCAGTACCCTGCTTTGCAGGGCCGCCACACCACAACCCATCCACCTCTCAATGGCCAGCAAGTCCATTTGTTGAGGTTTCGGGGGTTGTGGGGTTTTTCTTTTTTCCAAATATTTGGAAAAACAAGGAGCAGCCCTGAGCAAGAGGCACCACAGAGAGAGGACAGCCCCTGTGCCGGTCCAGCCAGCCACCCTGTGGAGGGACAGGTATTACCATGGGTTTCAAATCTTACCTGCTTTGAAATTGCCTACGCATAAAAAAAATATGTATCTGTAATCCCCCATCCCAATTGCCCAGAGCTAATGCTAGAGAAGCAGAGCGAACCAAAACCCAGCTAGCCAATTAAAAACCCGCCTGGGGGAAGAAATGTTTTATAAGCAGCTTCCCAGCTGCTTGCCACAGCCTCTCTGCATCTCATCAGCTGGGTTTTTGGGCAGGCGGCGGTTGCCTTGCTGTGCCCATTGGCACATGGCAGCACCAGAGGGAGACCCTGCGGAGTCCGGTGATTAAATTAACGGGGCGCCTGGAGCTACCAAAAGCAACTTCTGTTCAGCATCCCTATGTGCAAAATTACCATTTCCCGGTCATCAACAGCCTCTGCAGATCTCGGGAGGTAAAGCATCTTCAGGAACCAGAGGGAAAGGGTTAACTGAGAAGTGAACAAAAGCTATTTTTAAAACTGAAGGGCTGTATGGCAGCTGGCTTAGCCCTTCCCGGGCTCAGCCCGCGCTTTCGTGCTGACAAATAGCTGCTCCCATCATTACATGTGAAAATGTGCAAGTAACCAAAGCAAAATGTTGTCAGCAAATGAAAGGATAAAGTATAATTACATTTGCACGTGGGCAGCATCCGTATTTCAGTGTCCGGACGGCTCCGTGTGTGCCAGCCGGGGAGAGGATGGGCCCAAGGAGAGGAGCTGAGCGGCTACAGCCCCGCGAGCAGGGCAGGGGGCGAGGAGGCGGCCGTCGGGCTACGACTGTCTGTCCAGGCATGGAAGGAGGTGCCTCCAGCCTGATGGGGGGGGGTCTGCAGCTCTGGCTTAAGATACCCTAAGTCTCTTGTCCCTTTTATTTTCGTGAATGCTGCCTTCATTAAAGCCATCCTGCTCTGGGTGGGATCATGTCCTCGGCAGGAGCAGGGTGGCATCGAGGTCACTGTCACCCACCGGCCCCACACACCCCCAGAGCCCAGCGGGAGCAAGCAGGAGGGGCCTGGAGGGAAAAGGAGTCATTTTCAGCAACAGCTAGAAGTGTAGAAGTGACAACGAGGGCTGCTGAGTGCTTGGCCAGGGGAAAGCAAGTCTGGATGCTCTTCAGGAGATGATTTTCTGCCCTTTCCTTACACAAAGCACTTCTTGACCATGGTAGTTTTACGACCAGCCAACTAAAAGCAAAAAGCCACACTCTCAGCTGTAGCTGAGTGCTTTAATCTCTTCCACTTTATCTCACAAACCCTTGGCTGTCCACAGACACGAGCTGCCAACCTCCGGCCAAGTCCATCCCCACTGGTTGTGCCCGTCCTGAGCTGCTGTGTCTCGTGGGGTTGGGACAACGGTCCTGTGAGACTCCATCCATCTTCTGTCCTCACATGCAGAGCACCAAGGAACATGGCATGGAGGACCTTCTCATTACAGGTGCACTGCCAGCTACTGTAGAGGGATCCATTTGCTGGGCTATGGATAAACGAGACCCATCAGACCCAGGCTGCTGCTAGCGATGCCTTGCCAGAAGGGAATCACAGTTCCCACCAAAGAGCAGCAGCGTTGACACGCAGGGCTGAGCATGCTCTTCCCTGCCACAGCCACGGCAAATGTTCCTCCCATTCCATCTCCAAAGCATCATCTGGTTCTTCCTCCCTCCCCCCCTTCTGAAAAGCAGAGACACACTATTGCATTAGCACCACACTAGCATGGTCCCACTGGGGAATTCAGCCCATGCTGATGGTGAAACCTCTTCGGGGGTTGTTTTGCTGCCTAATACAACTGCCCTGCTCTCCCCTTGCCACCCACCTCCTACCCCACAGCCCAGCCCAGGAGGGTGACGTCCCCCTCCATGCTCAGCCAGGCAAAGCTGAGCCGAGCTCTAGGAGCTGGCAGGGATGACCGTGCTATTTCTGGTGTCTGGAAAGAGGTGTAATCCTCAGTCACAGACTCTCTTTGGAAAGAAGGTAGGGTCAATCTTTTGGCTTTCGGACAACTCTACAGCTCATTTGCAAGCCTCCAACTCCCAAAACACCATCTACTCCAGCTGAGCAAGGGCACAGACCTTCCAAAACAAAGTCTCCTTGCAAGCAGGAGAAAGGCATTGCCAAATCTCAGCCCCTATGATGTTCCACGCTATGGAGGACCACATGCCATGCCCCACTGTGCCGGGGATGCTGCTGGGTTGGGGCGCTGCTGCCGCTGGCTGCAGCCCAGGGAGGGGACACTGCTGCTGCTACAGCTGAAGCAAAATGTGATGCCAGAGAATGGTGCAGCTGCAGAAATAGAGCGGCACGGCATGCTGCTGGTTCTGCTGTGGTGGCCCTGGGTGGGCAGGGGATCAGGCTGTTACCCCCTGCCAGGGCAGGCGGCAGGGGGAAGAGAGGGGCTGGCTGTTTAGGGAGCCCCCGGGGTGCAGTTGGGAGCACCCTGGGGATGATGGTGAGGTCAGAAACCTAAGTTGGCGGCATTGGTGGCACCTGGGGATTGCTATGCCTGGCAAAACACCCAGATGATTTTTTTGGGGGGAGGACCTAAGAGACCTGAACACCAGTGACCCCAACTCAGAATCAAGGCAGAGGTGTACAAAGACCCGCACCCTGCGTCCTCTCCTCCCTCGCCCCACAGAGCAGGGGCTGGCTGCCCTCTAAAACCAGCTGAGCGGGGCCACATGGCCGTTACTGAAAGCAGGGGGATGAGCCACAGGGCAGATCCCTGGCTGGGCTCCCAACAAGCTCCGTGATGGCTCCGTTCGCTCAGGGAGGTAGAGAAGCCACCGGACCACGGACCCTCACCGTGGCATGTCCCCACGGCTTTGCAGAGTGGCCAGAGGATCTAAGGATGTGACATCTAAAGATGCTTGTTCCCGACTTCCCAACTTACCTCGGAGCAAGAAGTAACCAAAGGAGTGGGTGTTTGTAACGCTGTTTGCCAGGGGCGATGAATGGCTGACACAGCCCGAAGCTGTTGTGCTATTTGTAACAGCCCAAAGCCAGGCTGCAAAACCTGGCCGGCAATGGAGGAGTTAGTGAAGATGACATTTGGAATTAGAGGATATGACAGAAGCCTTTCCATCGGGCACCTTTGCTCCCATGGGAAGGTATTTAAAAATCTCTCCTTGTCTCTTGCCAGCACTGTCCAGTTGTATGTGCAGAAAAAATCCTGGCCAGGGCAGTCGGGCTGGTCCTGCTTCCCCCAACCCCGAGGAGAGCTCAGCAGCTTCAAGAAGAAGTGTCCCCAAGTCATGTGCCCTTTTCCTAACTCAACTTGGGCTTCTCTGGGATCTCTCCCAGTGCCAAAAATCACCCACAGCCCAGCAAGGGCTCCCCTGGGAACAGGAGCTCTCGGGGGCTCGCCTATGCTTTGGGATGGAGGGGATGCCTGCAGCTGGAGGAGCACTGCGCGTGGAGGGCGTCCCTAGCTCCCCATGATGGTCAGTGTGTCCCTAGAGAACACTGGACATGGCAGGGAGAGGGAAAGGAGAAGTGGTCTGCACCCACACCACCTCCTTCTCCTGCCCCCCCCCCCAGTTTTGCCTTAAATACCAGCACCTTAACTTAAAATAATTTAAAATGCCTTAAAAGACTAGCTTTAATTACTTAAAAAAATATAAAAACATTGCGACTATTGAGCTGATGTAGGACAGCCCCAAGAACAGGTCAGGTTTTCCCAAGCCATCCGACCTCCACAGGCTGTGGGCAGGGAGACAGGCAGCCTGCCCTGGAAAGTAACTGCTCTAAGTATTTTTTTTCCCTACCCAATATGAACTGCAATTAAAACTGTTTTCCCCATCACCATGGAAACAGTTTGGGTTTAAAGGATGCTGTGGCAGGAGGAGGCCAAGCAGCACGGGGACCACGTGGGGACCAGAGCCTGCGGGCAGGACAGGGACAGGGCTGGGCCCCTGGCGGGAAGCAATCGAGGACTGATTTATGGCTTGACGGGATCCGAATGCTTACACTGCTGTAAATCCTAAGCAATGCCTCTGGTTTTTTACCACTGCAACCGAGACTGGAATTTGATCTGCCATTTATTCCTTGCCAGCGCCTCGGCATGGAGGATGTTACACTACAGATACTGGTCAGTGTATGGCAGGATCACCAGCTCTCCTTTGTGGCTTCCCAAATCCCTTGCCTCAGAAGGAAAGAAAAAAAAAAAGAATACCACAAGGCTTTCCTTTTGCTTTGTAAATTAAAAGAAAAAATTGATGGTAAAGGGGAATCCAAAAGGGACCTGGCAAGCCGAAGATAAATAAGCAGATGATGAGATAATAACGTAACAGATCAGCCTGTTGTCTGTAAGATAATGGATAAATAGCCTGAAGATGCCCTGTGAGTGTATTCACAGCCGGGAGAGCAGCCCCGCAGCGGGACAGGAGCGGGGCAGGGGACCGGGTGTGCCGG